ATTTTCTGGCCAAAAAGCATCTCATGAGGGGGAGTTTGATGTAGTCAAACTTCATTCTCCATCCACTCCTTTTATTAGATATTTGTAAGAAGATATTATGGGTATTATGAGATCAAAAGCCTATGTTTTTTAAGCAGTTTATTACCTCTCTTAAAAAAAATCTCCTTGAACACATTTACTTTTATTTACTTCTATAATCCAAACAAAACTTTTAATTTTGTTCAAATTCCATGAGAAGGCAATTGAATAACTTCATCAATATAAAAGGAATATTGCCCCAAACTATTTAGGGCCCTGCAGATCAAAACCCTTTCTCTTATGAAGGGTTAAATAAAAAAAAAGTAATAAATTTTTTAAAAGAAAAGCATTACAATCTAATATTTATTATAAACATCCACTTTTGTTTGGAATCATTTGAAAATGATTTGATCTAAATTGTGATTACTCCGATTTCTTTCACGAATTTTTGAAATATGTTTAATATTTTTATGTTTAATGATTGAATTTTCGAATTTATATGTTATAACATTTATTGTTCTTATATTTTTTATTTATAGAAATAAATGGAACAAAGGTTATAATTAATTACTTCCATATAAATAAAATTATGAGGAACATATATAATGGAAGAGATCTTCATAATTCAAACTTATTCGTACAATATTTAATGGAAAAGATCTTCATAATTCAAACTTTATTCGAACAATATCTAATTACTTATTAGGCAATATTGCTTTAAAAAAGGTTTGTTCTTCAAAAATCAAACTCAAATGAGGAAGCCATCCACGCAGAGCCATTGACCAACAAAGATATCGTGACAGTTAATGTTTGGATTGATCTCCTTAAAGAAATCTAAAGTCAGATTGAAGGCTTGAGAAATGCTAAAGCAAGTGTCACCGTCCTGTGCACCAAACACCTTCGCACAAACTGGGGTCGATGATTTTTTTCCCATTTCAAACCCAACTGCATAAAAATGAGACAATCATAATGCTAAAATTTAGTGTTCATAGTTCAATTTTTGAAGATCTTAAATATAAAACAAAAAAAAAAAGGCTAGAATGTTGCTTGAATTGAATCTAATTAATCCACGCACTCTCAAAGAATCTGCTTTCTGCCATGTTGAAGATGAGAAGAAGAGAGAGCAATAGGGTTAAGTTAACCAATATTGCTGCTGCCTTGCTGTTAGAGTTGGCCATAGCTTTATTTTCTCCTTTGACTCACAATTGGAACTCTCTAATTATATTTGTGTGATTGGAATGATTAACATTTTAAGCACATACATACTTATAGGGGAGACCATCCAGCAAGAAAACAAATTATAAGATTAGAAGTGATAATTTTTAATAGTAATTTTTTCACTACAAGAAGCCAAGGCCGTCCTCTTGTGTTTTGGGATTCTACTATGTTAATCTAATTTTGTGAAAAACATGGCGAGTCATACAACTTAAAGTATAAGACAAATTATTGGAATGTTATCACCGGGCAGGCCTAAGTATGATGTGCTGCAGGCCATGGCTAATTAGAGGAATATATTTGGCCGAATTTAAGCAGGTTTTAATTTCTTAATTTGATTGAGTTTGTTTATATAATTTTTTATCGGGTGATTGAAAACCCCGCTGAAAACTAAGATGCAGAATGTATTAGATCTATCACAAAAGAAAAAAATAAAAAAAACAAACAAACATGGAATGTCAGAGGTAAAACCTCGATTCCAAGTTAAATTTATTTAAACTACTATTAAAAAAGCATTGGGGTTTGTCCGAAATTTCAAGTAATAAAATTGAAAAAATTTCAGTAAAAAAGATGTTCTTATTCTAATTAATTTGGAGGAAAAAAGTCTAATTAATTTAATAATTACTAGCCACTGAGTTTTGATGATGAAAGAGCATGCAACAAAAAAGAACCCCTAAATCAGAAAAGATAGATGAAATATATTTTATGAATAATAATTATTTCAATGGAACTAAAATTTTGGAAAATTAACTAAAAATTTAAATTATTACACGAATTTTGTTAATTAATGCTTTGACCTAATATATAAAAAAATCAAATCAAATCCAACTAAAAGTGTTTGGCAGTCTTCAACAATTGATCGAAAATCTCATAATTGCACGAAATCATGATTGGTCCATTAATCTTGGTATCAAAATGATCTTGATCTTGGGATTGCATTAACAGTTCCTTAAACGTTGTAAGCGAAAGATACTTGATCGGAACTTCGTATCTCTTAGCCTCTTGGCCCACATACATGACTACATAACCCTTTTGAGTTTTTAGCGTTTTGCCAACCTCAGTCTCCACCTTCTTGTAAGACTTGTTGGAGGACCTGCTTCGCCCCATCTTTTTAATAAACCAACTGAATTTCATGGTAGAATCTAAACCAAGATTTATTTTTCTTGGGGTGTTTTTTGAAGTATTGAAAGCTTAATGGGATTGGAAAAGAAGTAAATAGCAACGAATTGGAGGTGTGGGTATTTATATATAATTTAGTGACGGTTGCAAGTCCTTTTCTCCTTTGGATTTGAACCTAAGCCGACTTCAACTTTCATTAGAGACGGATTTGCAATGAAATGAAATGCCTCAACTGAAATTTTATTTGTAAAAGGAGTAAATTGTTAATTTCTATGCTTTTCCCAAACATTGATTTTAAGTTAGAGAATAACAAATCATTCTTAACTCAACGAATATTATCCCTCCCTGATCTAGTAGGGTTTTTAAAAAGAAATCAAAATTTAAAAATTGTACAAGAAGAAATAAGTACTAAGTTAATGATAATTTCAATTTGATTAATTTGAATTTCAAGCTTTTGATGTCAAGAATTAGAATAAAAATTCACCATTTTAGCCATTTTTTAAATGAAATCAAGCATAGTAAAAAATAAAATCAATGGAAACATCACTTATCTAAAAGAATAATTGATCGAGATTTATTAGACCTCCTTTTTAAAAGCTAAGCATGAGCTCGCCCAGTTTGTCCATTAATAATATATCATTTATATTGCTGTTTTTAAATATATTTTAATTTTAAAATTAAATAAATTATATATTATTCATTAATAAAATAATATAATTAAACCAGACCAAACTGGACTCAAACATAAAATTCTATGCCTAAATTCAATCAAATTGGGTTGAGCCCGCAAGCCTGAGTAATATTGAACACTTATCATAAATCCAAATTAAGAAGATGAAAAGGAGAAAAAACAAGAGTACTTTGGTAATATTGATTACTTATTTTAAATAAACAATATAATTTTACGGAAAAGTCCTCGAACAGTGAGAGTAATGTTATTAATTTCTTTTTGATATATGTTTTATCGGTTGTTATATTTTAATTATATTATAATATGATATATTTAAAAATAATTTTTTGTTTTGGATAATATCGATTATTTTTATTGGTTTGATTTTAGTGAATTTCAATGAATTAATTTGTTTCGATCGACACATAAATACATAATAAAAAAAGTTATTTTTATCGGTACTTATAAGTGCTAGTAAAAAATTAAAAAAAAAATATCGATATTATTATTATCGATAATTTTTTAACTATCAATTGATCATTGACTAAATGAGTGTTGATGAAAACTTTTCGGTGATCAAACCACTAATATTGAAATTACACGTGTTTATCAACTTGACTTTTTTTAACATTTTAAAATGCTATTATAAGTAAAAAATAAACTTTTAAAATAATGCAATAAAAGTCATGTTTTATTTAAATTTTTTATATTTATTGAGTAAATTATATTAACACTTAAAATCGTCTTTAAAATAATTTTCATATTTCTAACCTTTGTACCCAATAAAATTTAAAAAAAAAAATTCATACCAATTAATAAAATATGACATGCGCATATCTTGAACAAATTTTGCTTATTTTTTCATATTTCTAATCCTGTCCATTGATTAATGTAGAATGGTTAAATAAAAAATTCAGCTTTGTTCACGAATCACACACCTGCCTTCTGGCTCTGGCATTTCCACAGACCTTGGCTTCCAATTATTCATACAAATAATTTATACAAGAAACAACAGGATAAATAAACAAAGTAACTTCAACCAGGATCAATGGATAAAATATATAACTTGAAGCAATCTGCAACTCAACTTCAAATTTTGGTTTTCCCCATCTCAAAACATGCAATTAACTAGCTGCCCTTGGAAACTAAACTAAACTAATGCAATGTAAATATACAAACATATATACCGCACCTTCAAAACCTGCTATAAATAATGTAAAAGAAGCAAATTGACAGGAGTCAAATCCAATTCAATCATGATCTACTGCACATGTTTCTCTTTGCTGGAATTTCTTGCGCTGAAGCTGGAATGACGATCTTTTTGCCTGCTAGTGATGCAGGGTTGCCATTCCCTTAATTATTACCAGCAACTAGGTTTTTCTTGTTCACAATCTCTGCAAGAACAGTTAAGAAAGCAGTCTCCACATTAGTCGCTTCAAGAGTTGAGGTCTCCAAGAAAAATAGTCCTTTTTAAACAAATTCTTTGGCATCCTCCATTGGCACTGCCCACTGGTTTTCAAGGTCACTTTTGTTCCCAATCAGAATAATAACAATGTTCTTGTCAGCATGGCCATGCAACTCTTCCAGTCAGCGTGGAATGTGATCAAAGGTCTGCCATTTTGTTACATCGTAAACCAGCATTGCCCAACAGGACCCCTGTAGTATGTACTTGTAGCAGCTCTGTATCTGTTCAATGCAACATAAGAGAAGAAGCAAGATCACTAACTGCTCTTAAAACATAATTTTAAGTGTTAGTAAAATTTAAATAAGCAAGATCACTTTCATCATGAGGATAACCATTAACTCACTGATTGTAAGTTAATAGGCTTAAATCTTTAATGCAGCATCCTTCAAGCAACAAATCCATCTCGCTGCTTCCTCTGAACTACTTTCTCCTAGCTGTAACGTTTAAATATTAGAATGACTTGCTAATAATTTTGATATCAAGATAAATAAACACAGCTCACAGTTTACACACCTTAAGCTGATCATTATTATTTGAAGTGCTGCAAAGGGTGAAAATGCAGAAGACCTGAATGTCGTAAACACTTCATAAGCATTAAATATTGATGTTGCAGCACTAAAAAGAAATATGCATTATGCTGGAACATAAATTAGGGATTTAATAATTGCACCTTTTTGTTAATGCTCTCCCTTCCATTGTCTGTAATCCGAATGCATGAATCTATTATTGGACTTCTAACAGGCTCCTGCAAAAGAAGAGTTTTCAATAGTCCTTAAGTTAATTATTTTAACACAAATATCCTAGCCGAAATTGCAAATTTTCAAATAATCACACTTTGATTCAGCTAATATTAGAAATTAGCTGGGATTGAAATAGGTTGATTTCTTGTATTTCAGTTACAGAGGTCTAGTTAATCTAGATAGACAGGTATATTTATATGTGATTATGAAGTAAAAGTAATTGGTAGTTGGTGCACACCAAGGTTTGACTTTGTGGTCAACTAAGTTCCTGAGATGAAGCTAAGTTTCTATACATGCAAAGCCTGAAAACATCAAATCTCAATGGCACTTACTAAGCCATTAAATTGGAAGACGACTGCAAGCCATATATAGTAGAGCTTAATCCATGGAACTTGAACCATCTGTTAGACATTAAGTTCCTTCAGACCTATATCAATATGCAGCATTATGCTCACTGACTTTTATCTTGTCTTCTTGGTAAACACACCTCATTAATAAGAACCCTCTTAGGTGTTCACCATATAATTAAATCTCACCTCCACTTTTCGGAAGTGTTTCTGTTTTTTCTTTACATCATCAAAACTAAAAGACATCGAATTTTCACCTTGATGAACTGCACTTGATTCCAAGAGTTTCACAATTCAAGTGGCAAAACTTATTTGCCAGTTGTATATTCAAAGAGTCCATAATTTCTCAATCCATAACATGATCTCAAATCAGGAGATTACATACATACATACATACATACATACATACATATATATATATGAAAAATAAAAAAGAAATACTTCAGAAAGAATATATATAAGTAGAATTGAAAAGAAATACTTCAGAAAGAGCCTCATCAGCATTATTGATTTCAAGTTCATCTATGTCCCCTCCCCTACCATCGATAAAACCCAGAACCATAAAATATATCACCAAGATTTTTAAAAGATGTGAATACTATGATAACTCTATTGGATTCATTAAAGCCTTCGGCAGAATTTCAAAAGGCCAGATAAGTTCCGTTCACATGATGTATCAGACTGTACTCCGAAATGCAACTAGGGCCAACAGGACATGTATTTTAATACCTTCAAAGATTATCAATAGCAGCATCCAAAAGTAGACAATCTAAAACCTAACTACATGCAACTAATTGATCAAGGAACTAGGTTCAATCGGTTAAATTTATTGTTCACACATTGTACCAAATCACAAATCACAAGAAAAAACCACTTCTAGAATTAAGATTGAGCTTGACCAATAAAACTTAAGCTTGTTCATTACAAAATCAGAATCAAAATGAGGAGAGAGAGAGAGAGAGAGGAAGAACCTGTTTCGAAACAGCGCTGATGAAGAAGATGACAACGATTGAGCTGAAACCAAAGAGGAAAAATTAGGGATTTTAAAAAATCAAGTAAAGATTCGTTTGATTTTTGTCTCAAAAATGATTTAAAAAACAACAGATGAAAAAACATGAAAGAGATAGGGGATTAAGATGAAGATAGTAACCTCGTGGAGCGCAAATGAGATGCAAAGGCTTAGCAGAGAGTTTGAAACGTGAAGCTTAAAATCAATTAGTGCAAGTGAAGATAGTAACAAATGCAGAAGCTTTGTTTCTATACAAAAGAAAGGGGGTCGGGATTAGCAGAGAGTTTTGTAGAGTGGAGATAAATAAATGAATTAAAGGAAGAGTGGAGAGCTTTTTTTTTTTTGTGGGTTAAACCCATTCAGTCGTAGAAAGCAATGCTACTTTCTGCAGGTTGGCTTTGACGATGAAAGCTCATTAAATTTGAGAATATGTTGGCGGTTCATTAAACCGCCAGAAAATATGTGCCTTGAAAATTAAGTTTTTTTTAGTGATATGAAATATGATTTATAATTTATAATTTATGTTTTGTTGTTTTATTATTTTTAATTTAATAAAAATAAAATTAATTGATAAAATAAATTTTGAAAATTGAATTTTTTTATTTTTTATTGTGATTTATTTTTTTATACTTTAATTTTTAAAATCAAAATTTATAATTATTTTAATTTTTTTAAAAAAATAATTGTACTTCATTTTTAAAGTTTAACAATTATGAAGTTAATATTATTTTTTTCATCTCTTTGTTTTATCTTAATAGTCATATAAAAAATACTCATTTAAATATCATATCACATTATATGAAAAATTAAAAAATATTATGATAAATTAATGGTTTTATTTTTTATACTTTTAAATTTATTTATTTATTTTTTGAAAATAATATATATTTATTTTGTAAATTATTAATAATATTATTATATATAAATATATATATATCTATTAATATATTTGTATTAAGTAAAAAAAATTCAAAATAATATATCAAAACAATTAATACTAATTTAATTATTTTAAAAAAAGTCAAAATATTATCTGCTACTGTATTAACAACCTTGTGTTATAGTCCAAGAGAGGCTGATGATCCAATTGAATCAATTTTTGCTGTCCTCTTAGTAAAGTTTAAAAAAATAAAAAAATACAACCTCAGAAACAAAATATAGAGAGGCAACCAAGAATCGTGATTCGATTTACAACCAAAGCTGAGAAAGTAAGATCCCCTGTCTCCCCTTTTTTTTTTTTACCTGGTGTGAAGCTCATAAAATCTCTTTAAAATCTCTCAATTTCTCCTGCTTGAAGTAAACTGATCGACGGTCAAAAAACCCAGTTCTTATATTGCTATTCTTTTCTCCGCAATGAAATGATAGATATTTGAAAAGTAGTGGGTATTTTGGGTCTGGACAGTGCAAGATTTGGGTTGGCTGAAAATCTGTCATGAACTGCAAAAAAAAAAACAAAAAAAAGTGATCCTTTTTATCCAAGAGCTGATGGCTCACGATTTTGATCTGGATTGCAATGGGGTTTTGTTCCTAAGGTTGAATAAAGTATTAGAGTTGAAAGAGTTCTATATTTTTAGTACAGATGGGGAGGCCATTATTTATATTTGTATTTATATTTAAATATAAATATAAATAATCCGTGCATCACAGATAGTAAACTAGTTAGTATATACATCCCTTCTTATATCTTGTTCTAATTAGTGGGTATTAGAAGGTTGAGTTTCTTTAGAATTCCATCTTCATTCAAACAATGAGAACGTTTTTCAATGGTGAGAAAAAAATTTTTAAAATGTTACATATCATGATTAAGTTTATATATATATATATATATATATGAGTTTAATTTAATTTTATGTTGAATTTTTATAAAAATATACATGTTGGTTTGATTATTTTATTTTTTTGTTAATTTTTTATATTACACTTAGCAATTATTATATTATATATATAATTATTGGATTGTTACCTTAAAAACCTTGTCTTCGTAATAAAATTTTAAAATTAATTTAAATTTATTAAAAAGATAATTTTTCGCTTGATTTTTTAAAACAAATTTAGATTCAAAAATTTGGTTACATATGAAAAAAAATTAATATCTACATAGTGTTCGTTTTAAAAACAATACCAACTAATCACATGTTATCATTTTGTTTTGATAAAAGTGATCTTAATTTTAATATTTAAAATAATCCCATTAATTTTTTAATTTTTTTACAAAAATCCTTTTAAAATATTTATTTAGGAATAAAATGAAAATATGTATTTTCATAATAATCTTTAAAATCTAGTTTAATATTCTTTTATAAAAAAAATAATTATTGGGAAACCTTTCAATATTTAGGTAGGATCTCAAAAATTAATTTTACTTAGAAATATTAATTTTTTATTTCTTAAAAATCTTTCAAAATCATATTTATTGTTTCATTTTTTTTACGAGGATAAAATACAAACAACTAATGTGATGCAAATAAATTATGCAAACACAAATTAAGATATGTAAATGGCCAATTTAACTCATCTTATAAATCTTTAATTTTATTTATTATTATTATTATTATTATATTTCTTTCCTAAATTTATATATATTATTCATAATGAAAATGGCTTTTTTATATTAAAAGTATTTATTTTTATTTTTATTTATTTTTTTAACTCCTCAATATCTAGATAAAAATTAAAAAAAAAACTGATCATTCAGTTAAGAAATTTATAGAAATATTTTTACAAACTAAGTAATATTTTTTTGCTAAAATAATTATTTTGAATTCTCTCGATATTTATGTAAAGTCTTCAAAATCATATTTTCAAATAAAAATATTATTTTATTTTTATTCTTAAAACCCTTATTTGAAATTTAATTTTAAATCACAAATGTTTTACACATTAATTTTTATTCAAATCTCATTTTATTTCATCATGCATCCAAAAGTAAGTTAATTTTCAAATATATATTTGCATTTTTATTTATTACTATAATTATTATTATTTTTCACCACAATATTAACAAGCATAAAAAAATGATTAAGGGCTCAAGAAAATAAATGAACAAAAAAGAAAAGAAGCATACCCCAAATGATGCTTTTGAGCTAGGACCCAATATAAACTAAACCAAGAATGGATCAACTTTGATGGGTTTCTGGGTTAAAAGCTTACATTGGTTAGGCTGTCCGATCAACTGTCGAGCCGTCTGACCCATTTCCTCTTCCCCTTCTTTTTTTTTAATTTTTTATTTCATTTCTTCCTCTCATTAAAAAAAAAAAACTCCCTTCTCTCTCAAACAGCAAACAACCAACCCTTTTTCAACCCAATTTCCAGCATTCAACTGCAACTCCGTCGCCGGTTAAGCCGTTTGCTGCTGTCAGTCAGCGTCTTTTCCTTTTCAATTTTTCACCCTGAACCCTCTTCGGCCTCTTGATGTCTATTCCGAGCTCCGTTTTTCCAAAATCATTCCCTAAAACCCTAAATCTAACAATGAAGCCTAAACTTCAAGCCACAAAAAATCTCTCTTCCACTTTTCAATCTCCCTTTCCCTTTTTTTTCTCCCTTCCCACTATTCCCAATCACCCAAAAGATTTTTTATGTTTAATTATCGAGTTTTTGAATTTATATGTTATAACATTTATTGTTCTTATTTCTTTATTTATGGAAATCAATGGAACAAAGGTTATAATTAATTACTTCCATATAAATAAAATTATGAGAAACATATATAATGGAAGAGATCTTCATAATTCAAACTTTTTTCGTACAATATTTAATGGAAAATATCTTCATAATTCAAACTTTATTCGTACAATATCTAATTACTTATTAGGCAATATTGCTTTAAAAAAGGTTTGTTCTTCAAAAATCAAACTCAAATGAGGAAGCCATCCACGCAGAGCCATTGACCAACAAAGATATTGTCACAGTTAATGTTTGGATTGATCTCCTTAAAGAAATCTAAAGTCAGATTGAAGGCTTGAGAAATGCTAAAGCAAGTGTCACCGTCCCTTGCACCAAACACCTTCACACAAACTGGGGTCGATGATTTTTTTCCCTTTTCAAACCCAACTGCATAAAAATGAGACAATCATAATGCTAAAATTTTAGTTTTCATAGTTCAATTTTTGAAGATCTTAAATATAAAACAAAAAAAAAAAGAGGCTAGAATGTTGCTTGAATTGAATCTAATTAATCCACGTACTTCCAAAGAATCTGCTTTCTGCCATGTTGAAGATGAGAAGAAGAGAAAGCAATAGCGTTAAGTTAACCAATATTGCTGCTGCCTTGCTGTTAGAGTTGGCCATAGCTTTATTTTCTCCTTTGACTCACAATTGGAACTCTCTAATTATATTTGTGTGATTGGAATGATTAACATTTTAAGCACATGCATTCTCATAGGGGAGACGATCCTGTAAGAAAACAAATTATAAGATCAGAAGTAATAATTTTTGTAGTAATTTTTTCGCTACAAGAAGCTAAGGCCGTCCTCTTGTGTTTTGGGATTCTGTTATGTTAATCCAATTTTGTGAAAAAATGGCGAGTCATACAACTTAAAGTATAAGACAAATTATTGGAATGTTATCACAGGACAGGCTTAAGTATGATCTGCTGCAGGCCATGACCAATTAGAATAATATATTTGGCCAAATTTAAGCAGGTTTAGTTTGTTAATTTGATCCAATTTGTTGATTTAATTCTTGATCTAGTAATTTGATTGAGAATTTCGTTGAAAATTAAGATGTAGAATGTATCAGATCTATCACAAACAAAAAAAAAAAGGACATGAAATGTCAGAGGTAAAACCTCGATTCCAAATTAAAATTTATTTAAATTACTACTACAAAAGCATTGGGGTTTGCCCGAAATTTCAAGTAATAAAATTGAAAATTTTTCAGTAAAAGAGATCTTATTCTAATTAATTTGGGGGAAAAAAGTCTAATTAATTTAATCAATTATTAGCCATTGGGTTTTGATAATGAAATGTTGCATCAACAAAAAAGAATTCTAAAATCAGAAAAAATAGAT